GAGTATGGACTCTGTGGCAGGCCTGACGAACGACTCGGCGACAGCACGGGCGCGGTGGACTTTGTGTACCGTTTGAGCAAGATGGCTAGTTCGCGGCAGTGCCGGATGCCATCGACGGTGTTGGTACAGCGACGCTGTTTTTTATCGTGTCTTTCGACAACATGGACTCCCGAGGACAATTGTCTTTGCAAGAGACCAGCGCTTCACTTGGAGTTTTGGCCGACAATCTTCAGGATGCTGGGCATCAAGTTGATTATGCCAACAGCGAACATCCGCAGACCGATAGTCAAAATGAGCGCGTGATCCGCGCCAATGAAAACGTCTTTCGTAGCGTCTCCGCTGAGACGCCGAGGCGCTGGGGCTCCATGCTGCCACTCGTAGCGTTTCCTTTGAACAATGTAGTGCATGCGTCTACGGCGTCTACACGCCGTTCTACGTGAGCGGGCGTCTTAATTCTTGCGTACCGCTGTCGCCGCAATCTCATAGATCAGGGATTGATGGGGAAGAGATAGCCGAGCGGCTAGCTGATGTCAGCCCTCTCACTGTGCGTGAAGTAGTCGATGACTCCTTGTCTACCCGACTGTGTATCCTACGCCACGTTCGCGATGCGATAGCTGATAGCTAAGCCATGCAGAAAAGATATGTAGACGAAAGCAGCGAAAGAAAGTTAAGAAACATTAAGGCAGGAGACCTGGTTTTTATTAAATGCTAAAATCCTTCCTACACATGCAGTCTCTGCTGTCTTTGAGACGAAGCTATGTCCACGGTTTTTTTGACCTTTTAAGGTCGTGGCCAATTGACGTCTTACGTATACGCTAAACCTTCCGAGAAGGATAAGCACCCACCCGGTGCTCTGTGTAGGATTTCTTAAGCCGGAACCCGGTGCAAGTGAACGCGGAAGCGTTGGCGCCGGGGCGGCGCTCACAAGAGATCGGCCACCCAGAAGCTGAACCAGCAACTGGCTTTGAACACGGGGTGCAACGATTTTCTTTTTCGACGGTGCTAGGAGCTTCGCCGTCGCACGAAGTGACGCATTCGTCTGCTCGACGGCTAGGATCCGCTCAAACAGAGCGCGATAGCGCTCAACATGAGGCAGTCGGTGCACGGAGTGCTCCAAGCTTTCGAGGTTTTCGCACAGTGGTATGCGACCTCTGCAAGATGCCCGGTGGAGTGCCGATGACGACGGACTTTTACCTCAAGAGCTCGAATAGCATCGCGAGTCACCGAACGGCGATCGGCTAAGTCGTCATCGTCCGCCGCCGACTCTTCTCGATGGGAATGGTGGCGTCCTCGATCACGTGGAACGCCTTGTGGGTCGACGTCGTCGACAGGGTCAAACTCAACATCTTGTGAAGTGGCGGTGATACCCAAACTCCGAGAGCTCGTGGGAGTTGAGGTGCCATTTTGGCAAGGCTGTCCAGCCGTCGTGGACGCTTATGATCAGAAGGATCATGACTCTCCACGTCTTCGTACGCTCCGTTGTTCACGGTAGTAGCCCGGGAAGCCGAAGGGGTCAAAAGCTGAGCTCAAGCTATGACCCTGAGATGCTGTAGTCGTAGTTACCTGTGTGAGAAACCACAGAACTTGCAGGAGTGTGATGAATCATTCCATGTGCCGCAAGGCAAAAATACGTAGGAAGTCGGTGTCTCGGATTGAGTTTGGTAAACTCAAATCAAGGATGACATTCTACACGCACGTACACTTTCTTGTGGCTCAGCTGTAAGTTAGACAGCGAGGAAAGGTTTTGATGCCGCTGCACCCATCCCTAAAGAGCTCCTCATCATCTGCGGCGGTTTCACCAGGGGCGAGCACCACAGGAATAGCCCGCATTGCGGGAACAGGAGCGCCTCCTTTTCAAGCGCGAAGTCAAGCGCAGTATCTATCCATCGGGATTTCTTGAGCTACCAAGAAGCGAGCTCGAAGATTTTTTTGTTGGTGAAGCTCAGCTTGTGTAGTGGTCGGGGGTCTGACTACTTAGATCCTAACGATCGAGTGATCGCGTCTTTCGCTTCAGTAGCGGAAAGTCGTATTCCACACGAGGGTCTAGGACCGAACGTGGATACGATCGCATGAGAGCGGCTCTATGGGCAGCCTCCAACTACTGCTCCCGTGCCTTGTCGAGTCGATCGGTAATAATACCACTTCCCTCAGAAGTCGAAAGGTCGGGAAATGGACACGGTGTCCGCAAGGTTCGAGCAAGGCCCACGTCGCGCCGTTGGCGCACCTCGCCCCCCTCTTCTTCCTAGCCTGGGAAAAAGTATCCGACTCGTATCCGACTTTCTCTAAATACTCGACGAGAAAATGCGGCGCCCGTGACGGACGCGGTGTGGTTCGCCTGGTTGCCGAGGGCTTGTGATGTGCTTCTTGTATAGTCGCGGACGTACTGTCCAGTGATGTATCGCGTGCAGAAGATGAATTAGAGCTCTGCCTGCGGCCGCCCTCTGAACCAGCTATTTTGCGTGTCATAGACACAGGGCTCATTGAGCGGAGAATGTTTAAAGATGCTCTGAAGGACGTAATGGTGTCTCAGACACGCGAGCCTCGTATGAGGCGACAGTTAGATGTGAATTGTGGATACTCACAATTTTGATGGGGAGGAGTGTAAAGGTTACCACGTACTCTAGTATGAAAGGGTGGGTCACACAAGCTGGTGTGACCGTACATTGGTCTGGATTACACGAGTTGGTGTAATCACACATGGTGTGGCTACACCGTAACAAGAAGTCACTACGTGGCAGAACTACCAGTAGTAATGCATATTTATTAATTTTTATATAAGTAAGGTATTGCTATATTACTTAATAAACCTACTTCTCGTAAGGTCTGTAGCCTTAGCTTAGCTTCCTCTAAGCAAAGAGCTTCGGCAGCCTCGCTGCAATGAGGGGCAGGTACGCTTATGGACAAGGGGCGAAGATAGTCTCCGAGCACAGTGGTTGCTCATTGTGAGCCCACATTGCGCAATGTCTAAAAGAGAACAGAAGGATGAACTTCAGTGTAGTTTACATAGTGGGGGGGGGTGTAGCGCGGTTGACACTGCATCATTCTGTACATCCTCCTGACACAGTCAAAGCAATCGTATTTGATACAATACAGTTCACTTGTACGAAACTCACATTTTACTTTTGCGTGGTAATTCGAAATATAGGAACTAAGGAGATTACGGAGCTGCAAATTCTAGGGTCTGAGGACTACGTGGTCTCCCGGTGGCATGTCAGAAAATGATGAGAGTCTTATGATGAGAAATAGTTGAACGTATTTATTGGGTATGATTAACAAAGTTTTATCGAATCCTTCTATAATTTAGATATCTCTTGAACAGCAGAGCAAGCAAGACTTCGTTAATTATGAGACTTTCGCTTCCGCTCCCGGTCAAAGCGTAGGAATATAGCATTATGTGTTTGTGAACGCGGGTTTTTCAAAGCAGAGCTTTCTTTGTGCCGAGTAGTAATGTGCATAACGACCCCGTTGCTTTGCTTGCGCAACTAATGGTACAGATTCGCAGTCTGGCTACACTTGCTGTACGCCAACTGGAAGACCGATCGGGTTTGTGGCGCCGGACACCGAATGCAGGAACTTGCATTGTATATTCTCGAAATATAATGTGATTTCTCTTGTACATGGCCTAGAATCTGGAGTCAATACAAAACAAATACAGCCGAAAGCGATGTTTAGTCATGTAATTGCTTAATGTTAAACATGATGCTAATTCTGCTTTTGCATCCACTCTGGAAATACCAAACGAACACTTTACAGGTGTCAATACAAGCACTTATCGCGTGTCAAATATTATAAGCGGAACGAACCCAGCTGCGTCTGATACTTGCTGGATTTTGCACTGTTCAACACTGAGATTTAAGCTGATACCTGTATCTCAGCAGAAAAACCGTTTTGTCATGCGCTAACAGTTTCGTTGTATTCTCAAATTTGTAGACTCAAAGTAATACTCGCCCCGCACATATGAAGGTGTAGGGCACAACAAACATAGACCAGGAGAGAGCGAGTTCTATTTATCGTTTTATCGCTCAGTGACAATCCAGTAAATTTCCAGTACCGTTTTGAGCATGGAGTCTACTAGCGTTAATAAAGTTTAACATAGGAAATATATCACCATTATCGTAAGGCTACTTTTGTATAATTACGTGGGTTTTGCGAGCGTCAAGAGTTTCATTTCTACTGCCGCTATTTCGCCTTTATCTTGTCGTTTCTGCTTCGGTTGGCCATCAGTGACTGAATAGCTTAAAAGAATTTAGAACTTAAACCGTTTGGACACAGCAGTTCTGCCAAAATTTGGAACTTCACTTTACTTAACGTTACCACCTTTGTATCAAGGAAAACAGCTTTGTATGTCCTGTTGATATATTGCTTTCGCGTTGGGTGTAAATAGCACCCGAGCTTACGTGTCGAGAAGTTATAAGCGATTGTCATGTTGCTTTGTTATTATTCTTCGAATTTACGGTTGCATCATTGCTTAAAGAATGTCTTCTTCTATTCTATACATCGTAAATGCTTTCATCAGAAATGTTGGGACTTAAGTCGTTTCAACTGAGATTTTTTGACACATTGAGAGATAATGAATTTGGTGCAAGATATCAGCGTTACGAAAGGAGATTTGCCCCGTAATCTGTCAAGTATACAGCTGATAAAATACTGACGTATAAATTATTGTGACTAATTTTTATATGAAAAATAGGACTGATTTCTGATGATTGTTTAGAAAGCTTGCTTGAAGTTTGCAATATTGAAGCCGCCCGTCGTAAAGTTACTTCGACATGCGTGGCTTAGATATTAGCTACTGGTTTCTTCACCAAAGAAATCTGTCTAGCCGCAATGATCTCCTGTTCTATGTGTCTCGCATTTACTGTCGAGAATAAGTCTTAAATTGGGTAAAAGAAGCAGCATTTTGCATCCAGAAAGTCAGCATGTTTGCATCATATTACCAACAGCGACCTACGCATGCTATGCACTCGAATCCCGACAAAGTGCTTACCGTATCTTGCGTGCCCACAGGAAAGTACTAACTATGTGTACAAAAAAATAAAGTTTTCTCGTTGCGAGTATATTTAAAAAGCGTCGGCGTACCTTCAATCGTCCAACAAACCTCTCGAATGTAAAAAACTTGCAGAAAGGCAGAAGATATGAGGTTCGAGGTAGCTACAGAACAAAAACCAGCCGCTACGATCAGACGACATGAAAAAGTGTGCAGCACACTTGAGAAGCATAGCGCCGAAAGCTACTTTAGTCCATGCTATTGGTCTTGCTTAACTTCATGTTTGGAGGTTGCACATGTTCTAAAGTCTAGATTTTCCTAGATATTTGCAAAAGACATAAATTTAGGCAAGTGTTACCAATCGAATGACACGTTCCGGTAGCTTTTCATAGGGTTCTGGCACCTAAACCTAGTGTATATACTCACAATTTTATAACATGAAACTCTGTACTTTTACCAACGATGTGCAAGCACGACTACAGTGCTACAAGTTGATAAAAGAGACTCTAAGTGACTTAAATAGGAATCGTAGCAAACTGCTTAGTGATCTCAACGTTTGCCTATAAGCATGACAAGAAATTGGTAGGATTCTTTCTGTCAGAAAAACCTTTATAAATAGTCTCTGTTATACTCAGCCAAAAAATCCATCTAAAAGCGTATACTAAGAGCATATCAGATGGGCAAGACTGTCTTTCGAGATCTAATTTCTTTTCAGAACGAATCTGCTTTCCAAAACCTCAGGTCACGATTTCTTGCCAGCGTATTTTGACCCCTTCACTACGCCATCCGTTCCAAAAGGTTCCTCGACCATCTTTGTCGGTAGTAATGATCATTGTCGCTAAACCACCAGTGCATTGCTGAACCAATTTACTGGCTGCACTTGGCTATACGATTGACCTTTCCGTCTGTGTGGCCCGTCTAGAACGTCTCTGGCTCTACACGAGCGACACATCAGGGAAACCGGTTGGTTGACAGTTAGGGCATTTCCAAACTCCCCACAACAGAGTCAAGTTCGCTTAGCTAAGACATTTTTAACGGCTAAAAACAGCTTGATCTTTTACCTGGGTCCTGATCTAAGTCACACTCCTTTTCGTCCTCTCTCGATCAAATCGAAAGGGACGATGGCTTCGTTTAAACTGGTCACGGGAGACCTTATTCGACTCGTCGAGACCCCGCATGAGAAGCAGCAAGATGTACTTGCTCGAATGGGCGGCCTTGAAGGTATTGCCAACGCACTGAACGTAGACCCACGTCAAGGTCTTGACTCAAACGACGCTGCTGACCTTGCGAAACGTGAAGAAAGTTTTGGCAAGAACTACGTTCCTCCTCCGAAGCCCAAGAGCTTTCTTGAACTCATGTGGGACGCCTTTCAGGACATTACTATCATTGTCTTGACCATTTCTGGATTCATTTCGATCATCTTATCGAGCACAGTGGGTGATCACCCAGAGACGGGGTGGGTCGAAGGCGCTTGTATTATTCTGGCTGTCGTCGTTGTCACGATTGTGACAGCTATGAATGACTATCAGAAAGAAGCACAGTTTCGTGTCTTAAATGCTGTTAAAGAAGATGAGAAAATCAAAGTGATTCGAAATGGCCAGCCGGAAGAAGTCAGTAAGTGGAGCCTCGTGGTCGGTGACATCGTTCGTGTTGACTTGGGTGATATTATACCGGCCGACGGTATCGTCTTTGATGAGAAGGAAATTAAAATGGACGAGAGTGCTATGACAGGCGAGTCGGATTTACTTAGTAAGAACGCTGAAAATCCATTCCTACTTTCGGGTACAAAGGTCATGGAAGGCGTTGGTAAAATGCTTGTTATATGTGTTGGGGAACATTCACAGGCTGGGATTATTAAAAGCCTGATCAATGGTAAACGTCCAGGTGCTGTCACCAGTGGAAGTGATAGCAAGATGAAGAAAAGCGTTGAGATTCCGGATGACCAAGTGTACATTGAGATTCAGACTCCGAAGAATGCTTCTACATTTGAAGAAGAAAAACCGCAGATTGAAGAGGAAGAGGATGAGAGTCAATCACCGTTGGAAGGCAAACTTTACAATTTAACAGTTCTCATTGGCAAACTTGGTACACTTGTGGCTCTGCTTGTGTTTATTATTATGTCTATTCGATTCTCAATTGACACATTTGGCCGTGACGACAAACCGTGGAAGAGTGGCTACATCAGCGACTATTTAAACTTTTTCATCATTGCCATCACCGTACTTGTAGTCGCAATTCCAGAGGGTTTGCCGCTTGCCGTGACAATTGCTCTTGCATATTCGGTTAAGAAAATGCTCCTTGACAACAATTTGGTCCGTCATCTTGATGCTTGTGAGACTATGGGCAGTGCGACGACTATTTGCTCGGATAAGACGGGCACACTGACAACAAATCGCATGACGGTGATGCAGCTATGGATTGGTGATGACGAGTATTCATCTGCGATAGACGGCATTGGCTCGCTTTCACACGCAACGAAGGAGGCACTTTGTGTTGGCATTGCGGTAAACTCAACGGCTGAAATTTTAGCTCCAAAGGTGGAGAATGGTCTGCCGGAGCACACTGGTAACAAAACTGAGTGCGCTTTACTGCAGTACATTCGTGACGGTGGTGTCGAATACCCTGAGATTCGTACTAACAATGAAGTTGTGCATATGCTAACGTTCAGCAGTGCGAAGAAGCGCATGTCGGTGGTTGTTCGGCGCACTGAAACGACGTGTCGTGTATACACCAAGGGTGCAACAGAGGTGGTGCTGGGCTTGTGCAAGGACATGCAGCGTGTGGACGGCTCGATTGAGGCTCTTAATGACGCACACAAGGCGAAGATTAGTGCGGAAGTGATTGAGAAGTACGCGTCCCAGGCGTATCGTACGTTGTGTTTGGCTTACCGTGACTTGGATGTTCCTGCTGAAGACATGATTGGTTGGTCTGATGAGGATGTTGAGACGAATTTAACTTGTGTGGCCATTGTGGGTATCGAGGATCCCGTTCGACCCGAAGTGCCTGGTGCTATTCAGCAGTGCTATCGCGCTGGTATCACGGTGCGAATGGTGACAGGCGACAACATCACGACGGCGCGCTCGATTGCCAGCAAGTGCGGTATCACGCAGCCTGGTGACGGTTCATTAGTGATGGATGGTCAAACGTTCCGTAGTCGTGTCTTAGATGCGCACGGTAGTATTATCCAGTCTGAATTTGACAAGATTTGGCCTATGCTTCGCGTCCTTGCTCGTTCTTCGCCCAAAGATAAGTACACGCTGGTGTCTGGCTTAATGCAAAGTAACGTTACCCCTCATGGTCCTCAAGTTGTTGCTGTCACCGGTGACGGTACGAATGATGCTCCGGCGCTGAAAAAGGCAAACGTGGGATTTGCTATGGGTATCAGCGGCACTGCTGTAGCTAAGGATGCATCAGATATTATTTTGATGGACGACAACTTTAACTCGATTGTAAGTGCAATCAAGTGGGGTCGCAACGTGTACGACTCTATTGCCAAGTTCTTACAGTTCCAGCTGACGGTCAATGTAGTTGCTATCTCACTGGCTTTCATTGGTGCTGTCGTACTAGAACAGTCTCCCCTGTCTGCTGTACAGATGCTTTGGGTCAATCTTATCATGGATTCCTTTGCGTCGCTGGCCCTTGCTACAGAGGAGCCTACGCCTTCTCTTCTTAACCGCAAGCCCTATCCAAAGACCGAGCCGTTGATCTCAAAGAAGATGAGCAAACATATCATTGGTCAGTCCATTTACCAGCTTGTTTTGCTGCTGGCGATCGTCTTCACGGGTGAGAAGTGGTTTAATATTCCTTCTGGTCGCCGTCCTGACCTTCCCGAAGAAGATAAAGATGACCCGACTGTCCACATGACCCTTGTGTTCAATGTGTTTGTATGGGCACAACTCTTTAATGAGCTCAATTGCCGCAAGATTCACGACGAGCTAAACATATTTGCCGGAATCACCAAGAATCGCGTCTTTTTGTACGTGTGCCTACTGCAGATCGTATTGCAGTACGTCATGGTACAACATACCGGAGACTGGTTCAAGTGCAAGCCGCTCAACCTTGAAGAGTGGCTACTCTCGATTGCCATGGGGTTTGGATCGCTTCCGCTTGGTTTGCTATTGCGCACCATCTCAGTCAAGAATGCTCCGAGCTGGATGGCCGTTTGCCGAGAGGTCGACACCGATGAAACGGGTAGAGTCAACAATGGTCGTGGTCAAGAGCTGTGGGTGCGTGGCTTTGCGCGTCTTCGTGCTCAGATTCGCGTGATCAAAGCGTTCCGGAAGGGACTTGAGACCAAACAGCTTATCAAGATGTATTGATCACTCTGTTTTTTTTGCTTGATTTTGTATTACTTCGACACAGTATTAATAGGATACCTACTAATATTACCCTTACTACAACACAGTAGTATCTTCATTCGATGATATCTCAGATTTTCATATGGGCATCAACACAGTAACTGTATCACGTCATCACTTAACGATCCCTTAAATCTGTGTCATTCAGTCTGTGCAATCTTAACTACGCTGTATAAAGCGCAGTACAGAGATTGCATTCTTTGTAAGTTTAATCTCCTCGGCATTCGCAGTTTATCGTTCATTACACAGCGGAAGTCGCTCTGAGAAGAAATTTTCCTCTCCCGGGACGCCCCTTAAGAATATTTCGACAACGTGTCGTTGAATGGACATCCAGACTCACATAGTAATAAATACTATAATAAATAGTATAATAGAAATAAATATTATAATAAATAGTATAATAGAAATAAATACTATGATAAATAGTATAATATTAATAGTAAATGTCCATTCAACGACACGTTGTCGAAATATTCTTTAGGATTCATCATTTTAGATGACAAACTACGTGCAACGAGATTACTGTGCAACTTACCCAGAGAACACTTTGACTCAAAATGCGTTCCTGGGGAAATTAAACGCTATTTCCAATTATAAAGTACCTTAAAATAGGTGTTGCTGCTACTGTATTTCGAATTACAAAATTACAAAAGTGTAATGTGAATGTTGCACAGCAGCCCCTTCACGCCTATGCGTGCGAGTCTTCTGCTCACACGAGACTAGACGAGCGCTAAAGATCGCTTCCTTATCCCACAAATTATATATGAACTATCTGGGGTACCGCCTGCGCTTCGAGCTGCAGCCGCTGGAAGAGTTTGTATTTGATTATATGGAATGTATAAAATGCTTGTGAAAGCGTTAAAATCACTGAACTCAACTTGCGCACTCATTGAGAAATATTAGCCGTCTCCCGCGTCTCAAGATTTAAAAGCCAGCTAAAATGAAGCAGATGCCGGACTACTAGGCATCGATTATTGCTTGACTTCACGAAGAGAAAAAGCACATCGCGGACGTTTATTTAAAACCTCTTTGCCTTCATCTCTTGCTTTTACCAGCCCAATAAACTTTAAAATAGTTCTTACTGCTGTCGAGCATTCCCCACCTGTCAGCGAGATCCGCGCTGCAACGGGCGACACTTCCTCTTCGTCAAGAGAAATAAAGGTCGAGACTGCGCAGGCCGTAAAAAACACTGCCGGTGAAAAATTGCCAAATGAGACATATACTTTTTAAGATACAAAAAGCACCCTGGTTTACTCACCGGTTTCTTTGCTCGTCAAGCAGCAACGACCGCTCCGTGACTATCTGTCGTGAGGTGGTGCCAGGTCTAAGGTCTAACTATTCGATAGGTCCGGCATCCGTCCAAAATCGAGACGGAGGGCATTTCTTTCTGAGCTACGCGTGGTCAAAGATGCCGACGCATGCGGCGAGAGGTTAACGCGTTGGAACATTTTGGACGTACGCACGTATGTGCGTACACACTTACTCATATTGGGCCACAAGTCATACAGCTTTTCCCGGCGATAAACATTCAAAGGGTATATTGTGACTTGTTTTGTAATCTGTATGTGGGGTGGTAGCACTACGAGCTCAAATGGTGCTGTTTATAACTAAGTTCTTAAATACAGAGTTGCGATGCAACATGACAAAGCGCGTGGATGGATTCGAGCGTCCAACCTCTTTGTTTTTCATATACTTTTACAATATAACGCATCTTGCGTTTAACCGGTGCTGTAGTTATCTATCTACTAACTTGCGACGTCAACACCATGTCAAGCGGCAATGAATAATGTGGAATTTGTTTAAGCCATTCACCACCATGTTTGGCCAATCAGGATTCTACCATATAACCAAGGTATACTCTGGAACAAGGCATATACCTCGTGCCACACTCTGTAAGAAATTTGGCGACGAGGCCACCGTGCGCAACAACGCGCGTAATCAGCACAGACCACGTCGGCTTAGAGCCAAGCATATGCACCCTGATCTTGACGATAGTATACTTCATTGTAAGTAAACTTTTGTCGTGAAGAGCCTCGCTCTTTTTAGCAGCTTTCAGCTAGCGATATCCCAGGGAGCATTGGCACTTTGAAATTGTAAGCAGCTGTCGGAAAAGCTGAAGCACAGCATCGTAGTCTAGTTGGTTAAGGTAAGTCAGAGCCATGATTAACGCGCGCAAGAGGCTGTCTTTCGCAGATCTTGATAGCTTCCTCTTCTGCCACCTCCTCTGACACCTTTTTGCACTATTTGGCATCTATAATGAATAGATTGGTGAAGGGTTGCGCCATGCCGGGTTGGTTTGCACTGTACTTGTGCCTCCTACTTCATTAACAAGAAGATTGCAAATCGTTCTGTGTCTTTGTTTGAATTGGGCTGGCTATAGTATATGGGCGATTATCTTTGCGAGGTCTGCTTCCTAATGAAACAACACAGAAAGGGATTTTTTTGGCACCAAATGCACATTTTTCTATACTGGCGGATAGTTTATCGAAGCGCATACATTCAAGCACTGCTCACAAGGCTTTACTTTTTATTCTCCACATCCAGCCTTCGTACTTTGGACTAATATTGACTTGGGCATAGCTTTTATTTGGCCTAAACAGCTACGTTATCAATTGAACGTCGCTCGTGCGTCAGACAGTGTTCAGCTGTTCGTTCGAATTGTGTACCGCAGTAAGAGCATACCACATGAGCAGTATATAGCCTTCAATTTTATCACGAGCAGTGAACAAGGCGCAACGTATAATGCTGTTTTGTAGCGTATCCCTCTAGGAATTAGCATTCGACCAGAATAGTGATTACATTTAGCTTACTGAAAGCTTGTCAAATTTTAAACGTGCTGTGAGCTTTTCTAACAGAGCTGGTAAACCTTCCAGGACGCCCTTCGTGCTTGCATGAAGCACAAGTATTCAACGACACACTGTCCTGATATAGGTGGCACTTGGGGTACTCTCGAGTAGTAGCGACAGAAGATAGCAATCGCGGAGCGAATTTTGAACGCACGATTTGTTCAATGTTTAGTCTGCATTCCGCACGTATAGGCGTGTAAGGGATCCACCCTGTCGCAGTGGAAGGCTGTTGACAAATTTATATTATAATCACGACGTGGTTAGGTCGGCAAAACGTCACAGAGATTAGCGGCTCTGGACGGGCAAGATTGGCTTGCTCAGCCAGATCGAATTCATGACGTTTGAGCTGAAAGGCCTCGTGAGCTCTGCGGGAGAATTGATTGTCATAGCGTCCAACACCGTATGGAGTGGGCACATAGCTTATGCACGTGCACAAAAAAGAGAGTCGAACGTGAGAAATACTGAAACCTCGACCAGATCCACAAGAGCGGGGATCATGTCTCTCGGTGGGCAAATGTGCCACTTCAAATTCGAAAATTCGTGTTAACTCTTTTTATCGGAAAGCATCATAATTGCCTGACAATTTTCGGCCGGGACCTACGCGCTTTGCCTGATCAGACAATGCAATTGGACGATTTTATGCTGAAAATTCTTCGTCCAAAGAAGTACCGCATGCAAGAGTTCATTCTCGCTCGCGATTTTCGATCTTGGATTTTGCTAGCGCGACGCCCTGTCGTCCCGTCCCGTCTGGGGAAAAGCTGACCTCTTGATCATCGCGCCCGCTTATAGAATGAGAATGACCGTTCCGTTAGCATCCATAATAAAGTAGACAATTAGCGAAAACGTGCTCACTGTGGGAGTCGATTTCGCGTTCACAAACACTTGCTTAAGGGACTCCTGTAGACTCATTTAAATAGCCGAAGAACCCATTCAGGTGGGCTGTCACCGCTTTCGGCCATTCAGCCGGAGATTGTGTTACTCCCTCGTGATCAACAAAATCCAGAAGTCCATGGGGCTTTGATTGTCGTCCGGATGGTACATCCAGCCTTTTGAAATAGCAGCGAATAGTACATCAAATGTGGGGCATATTTTCAATTCACATTCTCGACGCACGGGTTCTGTGAGCGCGCCATAAGCAATGGATTTGAGTTAGCTGAGATCACCATCTCTTGGCTGCTGATCAGTGCATAGGTATATAAAGCAATACTGGAAATTTATCAACGGCGCCTCCAAGCGCTTTAATTGTGAGATACAAAAAGTTGAGCTCTTACGCAGAGCCGATTGACAGAACCCGTTTATATAAGTCGCGTTTTAATGAGCACGGGGCGGCTTACTGAAGAGCTATGCACATTTGTTTGTCGTGGTGGTCGAGCTCGGAGCGTCTCAGCCTTACAAAAACTGACGTATTCTGATGGATAGAGGACTTATTCTGGGCTTTGCTTTGACGGAATCTGAATAATTATGTTAAGGCTATGGGAATATTATGATAGCGCCAAGTACTGCTTAGTCTTCAAGCTAATCTTACTGAAATGACACAAGCCGCGGATCGACCGAAAGTTAGAACGATTGGTGTCACTAGCTTCTTTTGTATTGGCTTTTTGTTGACTTTTTTTTAAAAGCACAATCGATTTAATGCGATATATGAGAATGCCCGGACTACTTTACAATAAGAGTCTTGAGCAGAGTTCATAGCACAAAGGTAACTATGAGCCACGGTCTATGGAAAAACTTGGTATAGACAAAAAGGGTATCTTGAAGGTTTCTCGATTAACCGCTGTGGATGAGATTCACAGTATGACGCGATTCCAAAGACAAATGACAAACAAAAGCATGAAGCCGGAGCCGTCAGATTTTTCTCGGTAGAGATGTCGCCGTCGCAAGGTTTTGACGAAGTTAACACTGGTCAATGTGGCTTTCAGCGGCGGTCTCCAGGGAAGCCTTTGTTATTGTGACGAGGGACTTGATTTGGGCTCGATGTTATAATGAGCGACTTACCTACGGCACGGTGGGGGCACAGAGTAGTCACAAACACCGAATAGGGTGTTCACCATGCAAAGCATTAAAGTTTTATGGGCTTCAGGCAGCCAAATATATACACTCAAGAACGGAGTGACTGGGATTGTCCAAGAAGATATCTTGTTTTAATTTCTATTTTTTGATAGAGGCCTATATAAAGCTACTGAAATTCTCTTTCAGGGAATGCATACGGCAAGTTGTAAGACGGTACGATCACAGCGTTAATACATATAGTACATGCAAGATAAGAGCTTGATTTTATTCATCATGGACGAGACTGTTGTCGAAGGCACTAAATGTCAGTAGCAGGTTAGCAATCCTTAGTGATCATAGAGACACGCTGCCTGGTGTTAACGCGACAAGACCCGGTGATGAGTGTACGCTCTGGAGGTGCCCCGCACACAACTGAAATTAAATATTGTATGGCCTAATCCGTAACGCCATAGATGTCTCTTTTGTCCAAGCACGATGTAAGCTGGCGGGGTAGAACTTCACCCCGAATACTCTCTCGGCACCGCCGTTTGTGCCGAATGGATAGAAGCAAATGGGGCCACCAATCCAACGCAAACGCTGATTTACGAGAGTATGTGCTTCAAAACATCATGCTTGGATGTATGCAATACAGCGCTCTCTACAAAGACATGAATAAGTCTGACGTCTCGTGCAAGTAAATGATGTTTAGGCCAGATGTTGTCGACGTGATGTCATGGCTGCCGAAGCTCACACAGTGATTACTACAAGCGGGACAATATGAGGATGGATGGTTAAGCCCATGTGTTGTTCTATTCATCAGTGCCATTTGACCGTCTAGTGACGCAGTTGTTGTGGTGAGGCTTATCCTAGCTTTGTCCATTTATATCATATGGCATGATTAATTGGTTAAGTGGCTGACTTTATGTGATTGGGATGTCGACGTCAAGGCCTCATTGCGAATGTGCACAAATACGTTTACAGAAATATTTGATGATAGTCGTGCGGAATATATGAAGGATGTTTACCCATCGAACACTTAGCGCGCTATGCTTTAGTCTTAAGCACGGCTTGACAATTTATACAATAGTGTCGTGGTCACTGGAAAGATCCCATTCTCAACGACTTTGTTTGGAGACATGGTGATAACGCAACCCCCCCAAGATCAAAGTCATGGTAAAATGACCTGTCTGTCTACTCAGAAAGGTTTCGTGGAAGAGGCTTGGTCAGCTACTTGCACAGATACAATGCAAATTTTTGCCGACATGCTACAGCCGCTCTTCAAACTTCTCAAAAATGATGTTCAAATGGTATTGGGGCAAAACGAGCGAGGCAGTCTTTCAGATCCAACCAAATCGTTTGTGGCGTTTTGATCTTTGTTATCGGTGGTGCTTTGCGTCAAGGCGGGCGTTGTCATTGGGCATAAAGTCGCTATTGTGTTTGAGTATCGCCAGAGAAGCGAAGAAATTTATAATGACAAAGAACAAAATGAGATCAGGATGCAACCTGCACGGGTCTTAGTCTATTTTGCTTTATACATATGATGATTCATTATACACAAAAGCATCGTCGCCGCTCTGCATGCGAAGAATCTCATCATGGATTGCTGTATGCCCAGTCAGCTTTACGGCTGGCAATGTTACATTTCCAAATTGCGATGCAAAATGAAGATACCCCACATGCATTTGGCGCCTTTGGCCAGCCTTTGACCAGCGTTTCATCTCCGGCAGCATACTGGCAATCCAAAGATTTGAATTTTTACTGTAGTGTTTCTATAGATGCTTCCGAATGTACCGGTATTGGAATGTATACACAACGTTTGGGCTAAATGGCAAATGTCATTCCTTTCAGGGGATTCAGGAATACTGGCGCCGATGAAGATAAAGTAAGGAAAATATTTTGCCGACATGGCTTGCCAGTGATATTGGCACGAATCAAGACTCGCGTTTTACAGCTTACTGACAAATTTCGTTTAAGGTGATCTGCACCAGATTTGATTTGATCTCAGCGGGCTAATCTTAGACCGTAGGTCAGACCGGAAAAGCTCACTGTGGTTGAGTGGTATGTTTAGAATCCCACGCACGGAGCGGCCACTGCGCTGAAATGACTTGTTCTCTGTAATTGATTTCCATGAGTAAAACGGCCCTTAATGCCTTTAAAACTTCACATTCTATTTCATGTGATTAGCCATATCCCCGTGCTTTCCAGACGCTGCAACAAATAGATTTTATTTGGGGGGGGCGATAGTGATGAACAGTTTGAATCGTCCCGGCTACAATTCGTGACGAAAAGTTGTTTTATCTTTATCTCGATAAAATATGTCGCTACGTACTCGATGCGATGGCTGAAAACAAGACATATAAAACAATGTGGAAGCCATGGGGAAATTCCATTATCTTTCAGGGCACCAAGATTTGTTATAGCAGGCAATATTTCTGCATGCAGTGTCTGCAGTCAATATAACAAAGTTGCCCTCGTTGCTAAGAAGAGATTGAGCTATACTTTTGACGCCTTCAGCGGGGGCGAACATATTACGTGTTCCATGTGGGCTTACTAACGTTGATTGAATTCCTCCTGCGATGAGCCACTCGAATGCGTAGTGCAGCGGGGCTACCGTAGTTCTTTGTTTAGAGGAAGCTAAGCTAAGGTCACCGATCTTATGTTCTTTATAAGAACCAGTCCGAGTGTAGCGGATCGCAAACCGCTACCTCCAAGAGTGGTCTAGGTAAAAACGCTCTTCCGGTCGAAAAAACTTTATTTAATTGTTTTAGTTGCGGTAGAGCCGCCAATATCTAAGGCTTAGGTTTTACTGATTAATATAGTAATACCTAATCAATAATAGCAAATTTAATTAATATAGTACTATGCATTACTACTAGCAATTCTGCCACGTGGTGGCTTCTTGTTACGGTGTAGCCACACCACTGTGTGGTTAAACTAACTTGTGCAATTTACACCTTTGTGCGGTCACACCATCTTGTACGACCCGCCCTCACATACAAGGGTGCGTATAATTCCGTTACACTTAGCGTTTTGCCGAATGCGAAAAACCTTTTCAGCTAAGGTTTTGACTTAATTACGAAATGACACGAGCTTTTAAGTTATTTAAGGTGTCTCGAGCCATCCGAACCAGATGTGGACGTCCAAAGCGCATCCAGAAGCAGTTTAGTTTCATGATGATCGCGCGACGTGGCTTTTGGAGAGAGTCAACGCGATATGTCAAACACAAAAGCTCTGAAAAATTGCCACGTAGGAGCAGATTTTTACTAATCTTGCTCAATCAACAAGATAAGCCCTGTATTTTTTGCGAAAAACCTTTGAGTCGGTAGTGTTGATAGGGACTTAAAAACCAGTATATGCTGAGATCGTCATCCCCTCACTCCGAAAGGCCTAGGAAGTTAAGTTTCCACTACTGCAAGACCTCCTTGTGTTATTGGCGCTTATGTTTCGCACATCCTCTGACTTCGCTGTTTTGCCAATAAATGGCAGAGTCGAGTGGTGTAAAATACTTCCCATAAGCATGTCGGGCCAGGTCATCTTACAAGATTGAGACAGCGTCAGTATTTGTCTCAGCAGACAGACACGATTGATCAGCAAGTTTGAAGGCGAGGATGAGTGCCTGTCGTAATGTCTACGTCACGTATTAAGCTTTTGCTAGGGTTAAGTATTACGCAACACTCCGGCCGGTCGTTCGATGTCTAGCCGGCGCAATGCCGCGAAATCGCAAGGCGCGTTGTTTTCGCCCAATGCTAGTCAAACCGATCAAAGCCGTAGTCAAGGCGTCACATAGATGTAGCTGTTTTATCAGATGACCACCTGATTCTTGTGCTTGTAGGTCTTAGAGATATGCTTATTCGAAATGACACCAAATTTTCGTGAGCCCTCTAGAAGACAATTCGATCGCTCTCCGCTATGAGGAACAAGAACGATGAGCACATTTCATGGAAGGGTGAGCGTGACCGTTGAAGACGTTCAAATTCAGAAAAGGTTTTCAAAGAATAAGAACAGCTTAGTTGTTTAGCCTTTAGGGAATCCGGAAGTGGCGATTTAAAGGTTGGTGACTCGATTGAGCTGGTTAATGTATATTTATCGCCTTTTTTACCAATTTTGTATCTTATGACATTGGATATAGGCGCTTCGCCATACTTGCATAAGCTCAAGCAAAATGCATTGGATGTAGTAAATGGGCTACAGTATACAGTACCTATCACATGAAGATCCATACCTTCTGTATGCATTGTGGGGAATGCAGCGGGGCTGCCGTAGCTCTTCCGCTTTGAGGAATGTTGGTTAAGGTTGGCGACCTTCGTTTTATACTAAGAACGGTACGAGTGTAGCGGATCGCAAGTCACATACTCCAAGAGTAACTACCAACCGTGACCCACGGCTAACTAAATTCTAAGCGAAACTGCATTTCTCGTTTTATTTGCGGCAGAGTCGCCTATATCTAAATCTATAGATTTTCCTATCTATAAAGTAAAACCTAATTAAATGTATAACTACTGGCTGTTCCAGCCACGTACTGACTTGTTGTTTAAGTGAGGCCACGCCATTGTGTGGTCAGATCATCTTTTGTGACCGACATCATCTTGTGATCACAACATCTTGTGCGCCACACCCTTCATACCAGGGCACGTGAACCCCGACACAGGGAATTTAAAAAAAATATTGTAGTACGGTGTTCTCAAATGCATACGTGACATCTCATATGAAGTCGTAAGCAAACTGTGTGACACGGAATGCTATTTTTCTACTTGGGAGTCTGTACCGCTGACGAGACCGACGTGTCTCTGTCTTTCCAACTAGGTGATGCAAGTCAGTCTTTTCGATTGTATACTTTCCCGAACGATGAAGCTCACGCTTTTCGAAGTTCAATTCCGTACACTCAAGATGCAGCGGGGCTGCCGTAGCTTTGCGCTTTGAGGAAGCGTAAGTTAGGTCACCGACATTTGGTTATATACTCAGAACAAGTGCGAGTCTAGTGGATCGCAATCCGCTTACTCCAAAAGTAATTATAGCCTTAATCCAAGGTTAATTAGCTCTTCGGTTTAAATTCAAAAACTGACTTTATTTATTTTTATCTGCAGTAAAGCCGCCTAATTTTCAATGCATAGATGGTCCTAAATATGTATAGTAAAATCTAAATACGTGTATAACTACTGACTATCCAGCCCCGTACCATATTCTTGTGTGGATGTGGTCACATGCCCATCTTGTGTGACACACACACCTGTTACCAGGGTGTGTGTAACCCCGATACACAAGACCTTGTATAAGTTCAAGCTGAAGTTCTCAGCATACCCATAATTTTCAAGATCAGGAACTAAAAGTCTTTATTAGTAAAGTCTCTTGGAGCCCACTAGGTGTTTTGCATGTAGCTAGAAGCTATTCACTTATTTCTAATTCAGTACAACTCTGCCTTTAAGGCCTTAAATTTTCCCTTCAAGTCGGGACTGTCCTTCTTCCTCCACGTCGGAAATCGCTTCCTCGTCGCACAAGCGTGTGTGCTGTGTTTGAAGCGCTGCTGTGAACAGCACCCTTATACACTTCCCTTATTGCTAGCGCTAGCAGTCATTCTAACGCCCACTTCTTTAAAGGATTTATCAATAGATATTGTGAACACCACATGCGGTGTTCGTCTTCGGATCAACAGGAATGATAATTTGGTCCTCATACAATCGCAATGGGAGTTGTGGTGAAGCTTCGAAGATCACGCGGTCTCCGATATGCTCCAATTCGATCAAGAGGCGATAACTTAACGCTTAGCAAATTCTTTTGCGTATGAGCAAGAATTATTAGAATTTCTATCGCAGATATACCGACGCCGATTCGCCAACTGGTGGTAGCACCGCGATACACACGGAGCGTCCCGTGAATACCAAGGTGAAAAGCTTTTACGGAAACGAAGGTGAAAATCTTGCGTCCCGGCAGTGAGAAATGAACGTCGCTATCACGATGGCTCATATTGTGATGACCGTTGTCCGTGGCCTTTGCCATTTCGCTTTTGGATGACCGTGCGAAGGATTGGGTGATGACACGGGAAGTCAGCCGCCGTGGCTACCATGCCACATAGTAACGGCTGAAAAGGCCATGGGATCGATGTTCGTTCCATCGAATATGGCGATTCGACAACGGTCAAAGTGACTAACCCTGTAGTTTATGAGTTGTTGTGCAAGAATCTTATTGCACGTTGCCTAATTGGTCTGATGATTTATTTTGTTGGGGTGTCTGCTCGCTGACTATGGCAATACAGGATATCAAAAGTGTCTTATTTGTACGGTGACACCTTTGAATGGGAGCTTGCAAGATCCAAGCTTCCTGTATCATTGTTCGATCTGGAATCGTCTCAACAACGGTCATATGCCATCACTTAGACATAGAGTCTTAAAGAGGTCATGCTTTTTACTTACCCCTTTTTAATGGGTTTTCGTGACTTGATGTGCTAAGAAAAAAAATAGCGCAAATCTAGACTGTCAACGTCATCCACGTCTTCAGCTTCCCGAAAGAATTCGGAAAGAACTTTTTTGTTAATCTGTTAGTGTTCTGAACTGAAAAGGATTCATTTTGTAGCAGTCTTTGAACCCTCACTGTGCAATACAAACTTTACTTCAAACAGAGTTATGAACCTTCTAGGTTAGACATCCAAGTCAAACTGATCAACGCTAAATCATCAAAAGCTCCTTTTCTTACCCCAGGCTACTCCACCCTTACAATGTTGACGATTATCAAAGGTGCTTAAATGCATCGTGTATCATTGAAGTCATCACCGAATTCTGAATAAAACACAGTTTGCCTGATCCACTTAAGGAAATCTCACTTTTTGGGCAATCAAAGCCGTCTTATCGTCAGGTATTTAAATGATCATAAATACACAAGCCTGATTTTCAACAAGTTATATATGCTTTACCTTTTGTACACTGCATCAGTATGCTCTACTGTTAATCTTTTTGACTAAGTGCTGAAGTTGGCTTCATCAGAAAGCAAGAGGGGTGTGTGAGTCCACCCTAGCTTTTTATATGATTACAGTGTGTGCGATTGCAAAGTTGATCTAGCGATTGTAAATTGTCAAATCCTCAGCTTACCATCAAAATCTAGATGCTTCTTATAGAAAGTGGTGGTAGTCGAGCAACACAGACACCATTTTAAGCAATAAAATATCAACTTGCCTTCTTCTATGATGTATTGATCTTCAGCCATCAATCAAAAGTAGAAAGAAGTGGTGCCAGACAAGGCATAGATTGCCTCTTGCTTTAGCTCTTTAGACAAATACGAGTGCATTACTGATGGGTACACCTATTCAATGAAAGACGTGCTTTAATGACGCACACTAATGTGACAAGGGTTGACTATCGCAGCTAACCAAAACGACTTGTCGGTGGAATACCAAAAACTTTTACCGCTAGCACTTCCAATGTGCTCCAACCGTATTCAATAACAAAGCACATATTTCTGCTCTAATTTGATCTCTTGCTTCGAAGCTGTATCAAAAGGACAGCTGATAAAATTTCATTCTTAGCTCCATTTCAAATTTTATTGAAATATTTTTGTCAGCCACATAATAGCAATGGTTGTGAAAAAGAGCGCAGAGCAGCGTACTGACCGCTTAAAGCAGCAGGCTGTACAACTTTCGGCGGAGGAAGCAGCAAATCAGAAGATTTTGCAACACTATGCTAAAACTGTCTATTTCAATCAACTGTGGGTGTCTTTTCTCAGCAAGATGGCAGGTCTCGTGGTGCTCATGACTTACCTGGAGATACAGCGCATGCGTCATAGCCCTCGCGGACTCAGCTTTATCGTGGGCTTTGAAGCCTTGTCTGTGTTAATTTCTGCAAGCACTGTGCCTTTTATCCGTCGGTGGCTTAACCCGGTACTTGCTTTTAAAATTGCGTTTGCTTTCTCGCTGCTGCAAGGCTTTTGGTTCGTAACTTCTTACTTGACGCGCTTCCTGAATCGTCCACGTCAAGCTGGTGACTTGCTAAGCGAGCAATTTCCGTTTGGCCTCATCTACTTTGTTGTCTGCTGGGTATCGGATCGTTTTATGATTCGTTCGCAAGACATCGCTAAGCAAACTGCTGAAGACATGCGTACAGTTGTACATCCCAAAGCAGCGTAGGCAAGAAGATAGTTTCTTTTGATACTTAAATTTGATATTACCTAAATTTTCGAGTTTGATTCTTTCAATACATTACATAAATTATTGCGATGAAATATAGTGAGGATCCGGCCTGGGCTGATGTTGTGCAGGTGCCGCAGGATGACGGACCGAACCCAATCGTTAGCATCGCTTACTCTGATGAATGTATGTGTGTATTCTTTTGATCTGTCAGTGTAGCTCTCGAATAACACTTTATGACACACCCAGTTGTAGATGTAATGGACTGTTTTCGAGGTGTACTCAAGCTCAACGAGTTAAGTGAACGCACATTAGCGTTGACACTGGACGTGATTGACGCAAATCCCGCAAACTACACGGTTTGGTTCTTTCGACGACGTGTGCTTGAGGCGTTGGGTTCGGATTTGCGCGAGGAGTTGCAATTTACAGCGGACATGGCGATTCAATATCCCAAGAATTACCAGATCTGGCACCATCGTCGCGAGATCTGCTCAATGTTAAACGACGGTAGCAAAGAAAAGGAATTTTGCGCCTTGACCATTGATCAAGACTCGAAGAATTACCACGCATGGGCACACCGGCAATGGGCAATCAAGACCTTTGCTTTATGGGACGGAGAGATCGAGTTTGTGGATAAGATGCTGCTAGAGGACGTACGGAACAATTCGGCGTGGAATCATCGCTGGTTTGTATTAAGCAATACGTCAAACCTTGCAACTGCTGAAGGTCGTCAGCAAGAAGTTAACTATGCGCTGGAAAAGATTGCGACTGCTGTGCACAACGAAAGTCCATGGAACTATATCCGTGGTCTCGTTCGCGGCCACGAAGATACTTTTGCTACGCAGGTTAAGGAGAAGGCATTACAGATACTAGCAAGTACGCCAGATTGTATCTTTGCAGGAGCATTGCTGGTAGACTTATATGAAAAGGAAGGCACGGACACGGCTCTGAAGTCTGCAACTAAGATTATAGAGACGCTGATGAACGAAACAGATCGTGTGAGGAAAGCGTATTGGCACTTCCGTCTTACAGCATTAGAAAAGCAAGGCGCATAAATTGTGCTCGCTCCGTCGGTACAAATGGTATGCGTTGAAGCTGGAAGATAAGTCGATGCCTCATAGTTCACAAAAGAGGTCGTCTCGATTAAATTCGTGGAAAAGACTCGACACAATCTAGCGTCGAGTTATAGTGTGGTTATAAGGTCTAACCTGGCTAAGTTGTCTGCTTGAATCAATCAAATGTTCGCCGGAAAATTGTTTACGGTCACCATATCCTCCACCTTGTTGCCATTTACTTGAAAGTCAAGCTTGATCCTCATCAGCACAGGTTTCTGTAGCAATGGAACACAATGTGATCAGTTATAAATAAAAAAAGAGCCTAATCATTACAGAACAACAAGCTTACCTCGCCCTGTAAACTGTTCTGAATTTTGATGACCTGTGTCACCGTTCCACCGTTGTTTGCTGGCAAAGCATCACCTGAAGGGGGCTCCATTTTAAGTTTGATATACTTTGGGAATGCAGCTAAGAGCACAAACTTCTCAATTGGACTTGCACTCAAGTTCCGTGTGGTTGCCGTTATGTACGTCACTGACTTGTCATCCAAATTAGGCTTTGCAATCTCCAAATCCACAATTAATCCATTTTTCTCGTAAGCGCGCAAAGTGGGATTTGCTGGTGCTGGTGCCGAAACGGGAGCGCCGAAGTTCATGAGTCCCAGTAAGTCGTTGGCACCTGAAATTGCCGAGCCACTACTGAGACCGAGCGAGGACGCTCCAGGAACAGGAGCAGGAGTTGGAGCAGCCGGACCGGTTGAAAAAAGGTCGGCAAGCAAATCCACGGCAGGCGGTGCGGCTGGAGCCGAAGCCGAAGTGGAGAGTGACGCATTTGTGCTTGACGTCGATGCACCACTGCCGAAGATATCGTCCAGATCAAGCAAACTGGCGCTAGCACTCGACTGAGCCGCATGCACAGGTTTTGAAGAGGCTGCAGCGCCTCCACTACTAGACTTTTCAATCACCTCGTCGCCAAGGAGATCAGCAGACTCCATTGTTGATGAACTAAGGTCGTTGTTGCGACTGCGCACCTTCGACGCATCAATTGCAGGCATATTGGCAAGAACATCGTTGCGTAGTGAAGCCCACTGAGGTTTTCCAATGGTGGAGTACTCTGTAGCACGCTGCTGGAGTTCAAGCACCATGGACGTGCTAAAAGAAGCAATCATTGTGTTGAGCTTCGCAATTTCGGATTGCGAACTAAATCGCGTTGTCAGCTTCAACATAGCATTAAGCGAATACGCGCGCGTGATATCTGTAGATCCGTGGTGGCGCAGAATTGTTGTGAAAAGCTCAACGACTCTACTTTCATCCACACGGCTCTTATCGTTTAAAGTGTCTTCGGATGGTGGTGCATCCAGCAAGAGGAACTTGCCGTACTCTCCGATGCACCAAATACCCACATGGACAAGTGACAGCTGAGAGACGTCGTCATTGAGAGCACGGAACAATTTGTGAACCACGTATGGATGCAAATCAGCATTGCGCTGGATTAGAGTGATGAGCGAGCTACATATCCGCTCGTCAGGTAACGTCGCACCTGCAATTGACATCATTGTAATTAATGTATCGATGTGCCATCGGCTTGATGGTGCGTAGCGGTCCACAGCATCTAGCGCAATCAACATAATAGCGTCATGAGGATCATAAAAAGCACCTGAAGCGACAAAGATCGTGTATTTACCAGCAATCCGCGAACACAGCTCAGGCTTCTGGTCATTTGAGGCGATGACAAGGTAGTTCAGCATCTCACGAGCAAGCTGTAGTATTATTAAAGCGTTAGACTTCTTGCAACAATTGCAAGCACATCTGACGAACGCACCGTTTGAATATTTGTGCTATTCACAAGTAGATAGATAAGCTCAAGCGCTCGCTGACGAATGGAAATGTCTGGGTCCTTTAAACAGTCTACAATGGTGTTGGTGTGGCGCTGCACCGCCGCAATATCATCAGTTACAACCTTGGACAGCGTGTTAAGTGCCACATATCGAATGTTATTATCACGATTCAGCAAGAATCGTCCAAGAATATTGATCGCGAGCACGCGAAGTCCGTCATCGCTCTCGATTGTCATGATAGTCTGCACACATTCATATAAAATGGCGTTTCCAGCCGTTTTGGCCGTCTCGGTGTTTGTAGCCACTTGTGCCAATACATCATTCATCGCTTCACTCGCTTCCTCATTGCCCTTGCCTAGTAGCCGCAGCAATTTTAAAATTGCCACTTGCAAGAATGGATCAGCAATGCCACTGACATCGTACTCGCTCGAATACCCCATCGACAACAAGTTACGTAGCTGACGAACAAGCTTCGGTACAAGACTGTTAAACGATTTTAGATTTGCTGCATCCAAAAGAACCACCTCTGTAATAAGCTGCACACCCGCAAGCAGCACACCATGGTGCTTCGCACGCAAGAGTCCCATGATTGACTCAGTAAAGTCTTCTACCAAATCCGGTACCTTAATAAACACTCGAATCGCAGCCAATGCTGCCTTTTTTCGCAAGTGCTCATTGTCACTACGTAGATGACGGTCCACATCCATGACCAAGTCACGCGCCATATCCGCCTACAGACCACAAAATCGTTAACACTTTATCGTATTGTATCATCAATTGTCACTTACTGAAGCAACATTTCCCACTGCCGTCAATGCCAGTGCAACAGTGAATTGATTCTGGTTATTCAAGTCACTTCAAAGCAATAGATTGTCCATAATCAGCTTTCCCACCTCGATTTAAAGTGTTCAAAACCGCAAGAAATACTCACTTTTTAACGGAGTTTGTGACGAGGGTAAGTACGTCTTCCTGGTCAGTAAGCAATAGAATCAAACCTAAGTATCCCATGCGTTTCTCGGCGAAGTACGGGCTAGCAATGAGTTTAACGCATTCCATTTGCCCAAAGTGTGACGGGTAGCCCAACATGTGGATAAAAAGCAGCTTTGCAACGTTACGATGTCGGTACTGTTTATCTTGATCTTTAAATGCGGTACGGATAAGTGCGCTCTCCTTCGCAATCACGGCACGCTCCTCGGCCGCCGTTTTGCAAGCGCGCACACTACGAATCAAATCACGCAGTTTCTGGCTCATATTTGCAATTCGAACGGCAAATCAAAGTTTGAAGAAAGCAAAGTGACTTGTAAAAGAGTTCACGTGGAGCTACAGAGCTGGATGGAGGGGCGTGGCTACGTGTGCAGCTTTGCGAGGGGGTGATTGAGTATTAAGATGCCTTGCTTATCTTTTGATATTATACAAAATTATTAGCAAATGTATTATAATTGCTGTCCTGATTTTAGTTCTTGACTATTTTTTGTCCTGAAAGTTCATTGCTCGAATGAGTATTGCTTGTTTTAAATTACGGTAAATAATTTAATTAGCCAACTTGATTAATAGAATTGAATCATAGATTTTAATAGTCTAGCTAGTCAGCGACGAGCCTTGGGTTTGGCTAACTCAAACAAAAGATGGCATTCCACGCGCGCGTCCACCTCTTTGTAAATCAGCTACAAGTTGTACAGCGAGGAAACTTTTTTGGTGCCGCTGCACCCATCGCTCAAAGAGCTATTCATCATCTGCAGCGATTTGCCAGAGGCGAGCACCACAGGAATCGTCCGCATCGCGAGTGCAGGCGCGCCTCCTCTTTGAGCACGAATTCGAGTGAGGTATGTATTCACCGGTTTTTTTTATGAGAACAAAAAGAGAGCTCGGAGAGCTTTTCGTTCGTCAAGTTCAGCTTGTGTAGTGGCCGGGGGTCCGACCACATAGACGCCGAACGATCGAGTGATCGCGTCCTTCTCTTCTGTAGCAGGATCCGTCAAGCGGAAGCCGTATCCCACACGAGAGTCAAAAACCGACCGTGGATGTGCGCGCATGGGAGCCGCCCTGCGGACCGCATCCAGCTGCTGCTTCTGGGCCTCGTGGGGGTGATTGGCAATAACGCCACTTCCCCCGGAAGTCGAAAGTTCTAGTAACGGATACGGCGTTCGCAAGGTTTGAGCAGGGAACATGTCGCACCGCTGGGGCACCTCGCTCTCTTCTTTTTACCATCCTGGGAAAGGAGTATCCGAATCGTAGTCGACTATTCCTCCAAATCCTCGACGAGGTAATCCATCGCCCGTGGCGGGCGTGGTGCGCGGTCGGGAGTAGACATCGCGTCTGTGTTCTTGACAATGTGCTGCGCGTGACTGGGTTACCCGAGAGTTTGGGCTGCGCTTCCCTTGAAGCCGCGGAAGTCTTGCTAGCGCTAGCAGTCATTCCAACGCCCGCTTCTTCGATGGATTTATCAATAGATATTGTGAACACCACATGCGGTGGTCGTCTTCGAATCAACAGGAGGAGATATTTGGTCCTAATACACTCGCAATGGAAGTTTGTGGTGACGATTCAAAGTTTGATCGGGGATCACGAGGTCTCCGATATGTTCCATTTTAGCCAAGAGGTGATAACTTAACCCTTAGCGAATTTTGCTGCGTATGAGCAAGGCTTATTAGGATTTCTATCGCCGGACATAACGGCGCCGGTTCCGTCAACTCCTCCACAAGTGGTGGTAACACCGTCGATGCACACGGAACGTCCCGTGAATACCAAGGTGAAAAGCTTTTACGGAAACGAAGATGAAAATCTTGCGTCCCAGCAGCGAAAATGTCACGATGGCTCATATTGTGATGACCGTTGCCAAGGGGCCTTTGCCATCCCGCATTTGGATGACCGTGCGAAGGATTGGGTGATGACAAGGGAAGTCAACCGCCCAGGCTACCATGCCACATGGTAAGGGTTGAAAAGGCCATGAAATCGATGTTCTTTTTATCGAATATGGCGTTTCGACAACGGTCAAAGTTTTGGTCATGCCGTTAAGGCAACAATGCATTGTATAAAAGCACTGTGAGCTTCGTGCCAGTTGGGCAATTGAAAGACCGCCAGAGGCAGTGATGATCACCATGTTTATGAACGGACTCACTTATGGTCCTCCTCAGACTGAAGTCTTCCGCCAGATCCCGACGACTCATGGAGATACAATTACGATTGCATTTGGTGAGGACTACTGTCAGCGTCAAGCATGTAGTCAATCGGGCAACTCCATGAAAGCATTGACTGCTGCTGCCGGGATTCCGTAACCAATGGATCCTAGCGCCGTGACTATCTGTAGGCGGCACGTTCGCTGTTCTGAATGTCAACAATCTAGTCACATCCGCCGTGACTATCCGTAGGCAGCACGTTCGCTGTTGTGAATGTCAACAATCTGGTCACATCCGCCGTGATTGTCCACGCGAGAGACGAACCTCTCAATACGGTTCTCGTCGTAATGGTTCCGAGGTACGTGTTACCAATACCATGAGGCGTTCGGGAAACGCTGAAATGCAGTGGGTGTAGGGTGGTACACTGGGGCAGTTATAAGCTCTTGTGCGTGTAATCGTAGGATTACTCATGAGGGTTCATCCATCGAAAATCGTTAGCGACATGGTCCACTCGTGGTCACAGCGAGTGTGCAGGGTAACGGTGGTCCGTTAAGAGTTTTGCTTGACTCCGGCACGTCACGTCACCATGCGCGGAAGCAAAGTGTTGCTGGAAACGGTTCAGTACATTTGGATGCACTAGATAGAAGCTGGGTCGACTGAGCTGCATAGCGAAAGCCTGCGTGATCCGTATCGACGACAATCGGAGTCAAACCCAAGAGGTGGACACGAAACGTCCTCAGAGCATATGTTATTGCTAAAAGCCCCATGTTGTGGACAGGGTACTTCTTTTCTGCCAGCTTCAGCTGTCGCGATTGAAACGACACAATTGTGTCCTTCTGAGTACTTTTGCAATAATGCACAAACGATCGCAATTCCAGAAGCGTCACACACCACGCTAAACGGCTTCGTATAATCTGATAAAACAAGTTATGGTGCTTCCAGCTATCTCTTCTTGATTTGAGTAAATGCTTCTTTACAAGTGGATGACCAGGTCCTTCTTCAGCAAGGTAAATAGTGGGTGTACTACTTTCGCATATTTTCGCGAGAAGTGATGCAGGTAATTGGACAAACCAGTATATTTCCTCAATCCTTTTGACTTCGTGGCGATGGCCACTTCACGATTTGCTTTGACCTTCTCAGGGTCCGCACAAACACCGTGTTCACCAACATAACAAATGAAGGTCGGTACTTCGTAGGCACCGAAAATACACTTTGCAAGATTCGCTTGCAGTGAATACTCACGCATGTATTCCAGTAACCGGAGGTGCCTTAAATGCGCTTCTTCGGCAGACCCGCTATCTTCGTCCTTCGAATGAGCAAAAACATCGTCAAAATAAGCTTGTGCGAAGCGTCGCAGTGGCCGAAATAGATGGGATGCCAATCAATTGAACGTTGCTGAAGCATTGGATAGTTTTTTGTGGCACCACAAGCCCCCCTCAAACATACCGGACGGTGAACTAACAGCCGTGAAAGGGAAAATCTCCTCCCTCGTCAAGATTTGGTAACATCCATCAACTAAATCAAGTACACCTAACTATGTACAGTCGGACATACGGTGGATGACGACATTCTTACGCGGAGTCGGCATTTGCGCCGATATCGTCTGCGCATTGTAATTTGTTGTAGGCGCGAACGATAAGTCATTTACTGTTTGGTCTACGCACACAAACTGTAACGAGGTTACACATACCCTGGTAACAGGGGTGTGTGTCACACCAGATGGGCATGGTGTGATCACACCCAAACAAGAATACGGTACGGGCTGGATAGCCAGTAATTATACATGTTTTTAGATTTTACTATACTTATTTAGGAAAGTCTATGCATTTCAAACTAGGCGGCTTTGCCGCAGATGAAAATAAATAAAGTCAGTCTTGATTTGAAACCGAAGATTTAATCAGCATTGGGTTAAGGATATAATTGCTCTTGGAGTAAGCGGATTGCGATCCGCTAAACTCGTTCTTATTCTGGGTATAGAACGAGAGGTCGGTATCCAAACTTACGCTTCCTCAAAGCGCAAAGCTACGGCAGCCCCGCTGCACAAACCGTCGGTGCGCTGTGATGGAATTTGCTCTCCCTAACCTAATCAGGAGCTTGCTTTTGAGCAAAGTACTCATCGATGTCCTCACTTTACTCACGCAGCAGTGGCCACTGTCGAAATACTGTCTTATTTAAACTGTGTTCACGAGGTATTTTTGTCGAACTCCACGTTCAGGTTGAATCCAGAGGGCAGGTTTGCACTAAGAACGTCATCCTTTTATTGTATGACAAGTAAGTAATTTTTATCTTCAAAATGACATCATACGCGCGACTCCACACGCTGTCAAAATACCTCGAGAACCGAATCATTCAGAATTGATGACGAGCGTAGTTCCACTAAATCGACCTTCGACTGTATTCACACGACCTCCGCAATGTCGTCACACTTGAGGTTGCATCGTAAGTACGATGACTTCCTACACCTTCGTCTATTTCCCACTCGACTGTTTCATTTGCACCAGCTCTTCCATCGTCGGCACCGGTACCAAAAAATAAATCTGTTCTGGTCACTTCACAACCAGTCGTTGCATCCATAATTCGTGGACCAGCATGTTCGCACGCTATTTTCCATCATGGGAGTAGTACGCTGGACACTAGCCCGCGAACTCAACCGCATCCAGAGCGGGATTATCAAAACCCGCGATCAGCAAATTACATTGCTTTCTTCACGTGTGTGTGTGCTCCACCACACGACGGGAGGGAGCAGCACCTTTGTGGTCAGTTGGATCCAGTGACCCACAATCCGATTACTAGGAGTATTGTCATATCCGGTCACAGTCGATTCCTTCGACATTCTATTACACACATGTCGACAACATTCTTTTGTCTTGAGAGGGGCAACAATCGGCATCTCTACCTCATTAACTCTTTCCGTTGAGCATATCGCCGTACCCAACAACGATTCATTCATTTTCAAGTGACCGCCTGTGGTCGCTCCATGCGACTCCGTTTCTTCCCTAACCTGTGAAATGCCAATCACATCACTTATACCAATGAAGTGTGGATCATTTCCAGCAGCATACAGCTGCCGAACGCTTAAGCGCTTCCTTTTGGTGCAAAGTGGATGATATCCAGGATTTTCACCTAAACCAGGAGAGCAACTTTTAATCTTTTTCGATCGCAAATCAATCCATGGACCATGCTTCTCAAGCCACGGTATATTAAAATCATACCGTTTCTCTACCTCGAGTACTGTGAATACGCCTTTTCGAGTTCAAGTCTCAAAACCTTACTTAAAATTAAGCATTATATTTTAGCGGTTACCACCGCACCAGTGGCCAGCTTTACTGAGGTAAAGCCATACTTGTCATAGCGAATGGCTCACTGGTTGTCGTTGGCACACAATAAACTTTTACGGTCGCATACAGGCCAGAATAGCTGAACGTGCTGGAAGACGCATTGCCACTTCGTTCTGATTATGAGTTATATTGAAAGCGATGTATTTGATATGATACGTCAAGCGTATGTTAAGGATGAACAGTGCAATCTGATCAGGCTTCTTTCATTCCAGCAAGTTCTATTGGGGGTCATGTGGGACGTGACGCTACCACCGAAAAATAATCCTGCTGATTGTCCTTCGTCCGCTACAAATACCGTGTCATCGCTGCTAAATCATTAATTTCAGCCGGGTGGTTCCGCTTCAGCTTGGTCACAATTATAACGCTGTCCTTAAGTTTGTCGTTATTGCGCGGAGCACTACCTTTCTGAATATCGTCTCGTCCACCTTTCTATATTTTAACTTTTTACATTACGTAAAACGCATTCTTCGTAGTCTTTGGTCCGTTCAGCTTGAACTCCTTGAGCATGTTCTCCTTGGCCTGAATCAACGCATTGCCCTTCGCGTTTCGCTCGATTGATGAAAATTCTGACGATAAACAGCTGAGAGGTACTACCAGCTGCCGCGACCCGTTAACTGATTTTTTCATTGTCTGAAGACCCGCGATAGCCTGTCAGTCAATAGAACCCAGATGTTGCACCACACTAGTGACAATTTTCACCTTGAAGTCGTAAAATTAAAGACGTTACCGTGACATGATTGTGCAGTGTTGAGCACTTGTAAGAAACACATAGCAACCCTAAGCCCCCATGGCGTTTATGGCTGACCGTATCTTGGTCTGATGGTAAATCTCAACGCCTGACGCAATGATCCCACGACTTGGTGTCTCACTAGCCGCGGCTCCGTAGTATCGAGCACATCCTTGACGGTGATAGCATGTCCCAGAAGACCATTTCTTGCCAGAGCCATCCTTATATTGAGATCCTGAATGTAGTAGTTGCCCACCCACGAGGCGGAGATTGGTGCGCTTGTTCGCATTCGTGGGTACGAACGCTGTAGGAATGGAAGGCTAGGTTGCGGCTGTTACTCTGTTGATTTGTATGTAAAACCCCGAGTATTTTTTTATCATGTCCCGTGTTTAATCCTAACGTTTCCTTACCTGTACCAATTACTCTGCCGTAAAGATGTACAATCTCGGTGTGTAAAGCATTAAATGAGAAGAGGACGATAGCTCTGGCTTGGAACCTTACAACGAATCCTAAACACCATGCAAACAAACTTTGTTTGAACCCTGATTTGATGATTGAAAAGCGCCATTTTATCAGAGAGTCACTGAGAATACACAGCCATTCAAATGTTAAAGCTTGCAAGAGATCCTAGCACATCTTTCTTAAACTGGAAAGACTAGATCAATTATTGATACTTATCCGTGTTTGGTAGAATTCTAGATGAATTGATTCAGTTTTCATCAATAAATAGATTTGTGGATGATGCTTGTTGGATAGTTCAAAAAAGCAAAAAATAAATCTGGTGTTTGCATTTATGAGCTTCATAGTCGAATATTTGACAAACATAACTCTAGCAAAAAAGTCGAATGAGCGCCAAAAAATAATAGAGCTTTATTGTAAAAGTTATGGTCAGCTCTTCGATAGTGTGAAAATTTTGGAGTAAAATTGATTTCAAGTAGAATGTCGACAGAAACAGAGGCTACTGTGTTATTTTTGGCAGCCCGCATATCGTTAAAAGCAATATCAAACTAAGAAATGAACTCCTTTGACTCACTGGGTCTTTGGCGGCATTTAAGTATGTCGATTACGAAGTTGTTATCAGAACCCCTTGATTGGCCGCTGTGTGAATGATTGTACTAGCTTTAATATGAAGAGAAGATGTGTCCTTAAGTGGTTATAACTTTGAAGCTTGGGATATAAGTCGAGATCATCAGCTACACAAGCACTAGTTTGACGATACAACAATTAAAAGTGACTTGCGTAGCAAGTGAGAAAATGGGATAGTGCTGAATAAATTATTAGATCGAAATCAATTCTACTTCTGGCTCGGTTTGGCAAATAGAGAGGCTTAATTTTCCATTGATAGATAACTTTGGACTATAATTTCCTCCTCTCAGAGTGATATCCCCTTTAGGACAAGCTTCTATTGTCTGCAATCTTCACGAAATACAGTCAAAATTTGGTACAAGTAGACTGTTGTGTGCCCAACGGGACTCTACCCGAGAGATGTCTGTCGACCAGCCTTGTGCGACCTCGAAATTGTGGATAGACATCAAGATATCATATGTCGTTCATCACTTCACTCGATAAATACCACTTCATGATATCTCATATTCACTACTTCCTGATCGGCTCTACCTCAAGTAAAAAATGTACACTTAATACGTAATGCAACGGGGTTGCTTGTACCCTGGTATGAAAGGGTGGGTCACACAAGATGGTGTGGCCGTACAAAGGTGTGGATCACACAAGAAGGAGAAATCACCAGTTGTGTGGCCACACCGTAACAAGAAGCCACTACGTGGCGGGACTGTCAGTAATTATGTATATTAATCAGATTTTACTAATTAATTAGTAGAACCTAGAGATTTAGATATAGCAAGCTCTGCCGCAAATAAAAACAGAAAAAACAGGGTTTCAAATTTGAACGAAGAGTACGCTTGCCTTTGATTTAAGTTTTGGGCTATCTTGGAGGTAGCGGATTGCGATCCGCTACACTCATACTCGTAACGGGGTTACACGTACCTTTGTAAGTTAGGGCGGATTGTGCGACCATACATAGGGGTGTATCACACAATTAGTGTAATAACACAGTGATGTGGCTACACCGTAACAAGAAGCCACCACGTGGAAGCATTGCCAGTAGTAATGCATATTACGATATTAATTGGGTTTTGCTATATTAATTAGGTATTACTATATTAATTAGGAATACTTAGGGATTTAGATATTGGCGGCTCTGCCGCAATTTAAATAAATAAATACAGTTTCATTCTAAACAAAAGTGTTCGTTTGCCTTGTGAAGGCTTGAGTATTTTGAAATAGCGGGTTGCGATCCGCTACACTAGTACTGGTTCTTGGAAAGAACGTAAGGTCGGTGACCTTAGCTTAGCTTCCTCTAAGCAAAGAGCTACGGCAGCCCCGCTGCACTTGGTATCACTCGTAGTCAATCTACGCCTGATTTGTTACGACTGATCCTCTGTGAGGATGGAGGAATACTCCTACCCGTTTCGGAGCATGCAGGACGGGCTTATGTCCCTGCTAGGCCCTGAGGGCGTGGAGCACCTCGTTGCGCAAAATAAGCGCGTGACTAGAGGCGAATCCAAACTACAAATATGCTCTGTTAGAGCACTTACAGCAGAAGCTGTCAGCGTCGACTGCGTCTATGATGTCACCGTCGACTTCGGATTATTCCATCTGACCCAGACGCTCATGGTAAGCGCTGAAACCTTTGAGGGTAAGGATGAAGAGAATCTTCTTCTCTGGGTGAGAGAGACCAAGATGTATATGTCATCCGCCATTATCCCAGAATGAGCAACAGCGCATGGCGTTATCTATCTCCAAGCTCGGGGGCCGAATGCGGTAATGAGCACTAACGTGCGACCCTTCGGTTGAAGCTGCGTTCCTCTCCTGAAGGAAGCTGAAGCGTCGGCTCCTGCGAGTGATCTCGCCGCCTCATCAGGCATAC